CCGCACATGTGCCGTGCGCCCGGCGGGGGCGCCACACGCCCGTGCCCGGGGCACCAGAATGCCTCGGGCTGGCCCTGGCCGGGAGCCAGGAGCCAGCAGCCAACCCCAGCATGGGGCTGGGAATGGGAGCCCTGCAGGCTGGGGGTGAGATCCTGCTTAATCAGTTAACCAGTTAACCATTAGTTCAACCTAACATTTTAACCGATCAACTGATTCACTGGGATTTTACATTCCTCATCCTACCTAGAGAGAGGTTCTCAGTAGGGATGTAAAAGATTAACCAGTTCACTGGTAAGCATTAGCCTTACTGGCATGCTTACTTGATAACCGGTTAACCAAGGGGCAGGCTGGTAGGAACAGTCCCCCACCCATGGTGCAGCGAGCCCAGCCAGGCCAGAAGCAGCCCCTCCCTGCAGTGGGCTGGCCAGCAGGACATCAGCCCTCGGTTAACCAGTTAAATGGTTACAATGATATTGTTTAAGTGGTTAACTTTTACAATGGGTATTTACATCCCCAGTAGGGTTGCCAGGAGTCTGGTTTTGAACTGGACAGTCCAGTATTTGAGCTTTCTGTTTGGGAAACAAATTGAGAAAATATAAAGGGGCAGTATTTTCCTAAGTATTTTCTAAATAAGATGGAATGTCGATTGTGATGTCATGTCAAGTGTGTCTGGTATTTTTGTTGAAACCATCTGGCAACCCTTTCCCCATCAGGGATAAAGGCATTTGATAGGTAATGGCCACTGTTCTAGCTCAGAGGTGTTGTAGGGATAAAGAAAGACTGTATCTGAGCACTTCCTGAGGGTAGTGGGGCCAGAGAGGTACCCACAATAGATAAATCTCCTGGTAGCCAATGCAGAATTGTGTCCTACAGTTTCCATACCTGTGTTTTGTCTAGGCCAGTTTTAAATATGCCAAAGGCCTGGGGCTTGTTCTGCAATCCCTGGCCTCGGATGAGCTCAGTTACCCCAGTCCTGGGTACAGGATAAATGCTGAGAGTGAGAATGAGGACAAGTATCAGAGGGGTAGCTGTGTTAGTCTGAATCTGCAAAAGCCGCGAGGAGTCCTGTGGTACCTTATAAACTAACTGAAGTGTAGGAGCATAAGCTTTCGTGGGCAAAGACTCACTTCGTCAGATGCATCTGACGAAATGGGTCTTTGCCCATGAAAGCTCATGCTCCTACACTTCAGTTAGTCTATAAGGTGCCACAGAACTCCTCGCCGCTTTTGCAGAATGAGGACAGTGTCCCTGTTTTCAGGCCAAATTTAGATACCCTCCCCCCCTTATATGAGGCAGAGAGACGGCCTCTTTCTCTCTTTTATGCTGGGCAGTAGCAGAACAGAATGTTCTGAAATAGAGAACCATAAAGCCAAGCGACAGCCCCATCTCTCACCTTGCCCTGCACATAAATGATACCAGTACCAATCCTGCTCCCATTATGCCATTAAACCCTTTAAAGCCAATGGCCATATTCTCCACCATGGCTTGGCCAGAGGAGAATGCCCCTCGTGGGGGGAACACCCCAGCACTGTAGTGCTGGCACAGCCAACTCCTCCACTGGCTCCCCTACGTCCAACTGAGCTGGCTGCAGGAGGGGACATGGCATGACAATCCTCCCTGGCGCAAGGCTGCTCTAGCTAATGGCAGGAATGAGCAGTACAGAGTCAGAGAGCTCTGAGACCAATTTTAGGGGGTCTGCCATTTTAGGGGGTCTGTAGCCCTCCCCCCCCCCCGAATTTCACACTTGAGGTCTGCTTAAAGCTCATGCCTTGGCCTCAGAGGCAGCTCTTACCTGCCACAGTTTGTGCTGCTCCCAGCTTTGCCCTTGGGGCAGGGAGTTTGTTTACAAACAAAGGGAGGCAGGGTGATTAAGATAACAAAAGGCTTGTCACTCAAGTAATTAAACAATCATTAGATGATCATGACAACATTGTCAGGTACTCCACTTAAATATAGGCGGAAAAGAGTAGTCTGCATAAGTGCTATTCTATTTATTCGTAAGTGATTTTGAAAAAGGGCCAACTGTGAGGTGGCAAAATTTTCAGACATTGCTCAAAATAGTTAAGCCCAAAGCTGACTGCAAAGCGTAACAATGGGATCTCACAAAAGTGGGTGATCGAGCAACACAATGGCAGGTGGAATTCAATGTTGATAAATGCAAAGTAACGCACATAGAAAAATACAATCCCAACTATACATACAAAATAAATTAGCTATTGACACTCACCAAAGAGAATCATTGTGGCTAGTTCCCTCCAAACATCTGCTCTATGTGTATAGTAATCTAAAAAGATAACAGAATATGGGAATCATTCCGAAAGGAATAGATAAGACAGAAAATACCATTATTGCCTCTGTACAAAGTCCTGGTACACCCACATCTTGAATCCTTTGAATACTGCATGCATATCTGGTCACCCTGTCTTTAAAAAGATATATTGGATTTGGAAAAGGTATAGAGAAGGGCAACAGAAATGATTAGGGGTAAGGAACAGCTTCCAGATGAAGAGAGATTAAAAAGACTGGGACTTTTCAGCTTGGAAAAGAAATGACTAAAGGTTAGGAGATGTATTAGAGATCAAGAAAATCATGAAAGGTGTGAAAAAATTGAATTAGGAAATGTTATTAACTCCTTCATGAACATAATACAAGAAGTCTCAGAGGGGTAGCCATGTTAGTCTGTAATTTTAAAAGCAATGAGTAGTCCTGTGGCACCATAGAGACTAACCACACAATATATATTATCATGAACTTTTCAAGAGGGCTTTTCCCATTGTCTCTTCCTAGGCAGCTTCTCATTGTCAGATTTCTCTATCTGGTTTTGGTGGCTGTATTTTTCCATTCCCATTGGGTTTCATCTCTGACCCCACAGAATAGGAAGGTTCTCTACAGTATGTGGAGTATCCTTGGTGCCAGGGGAGGGTGGTTGATCCTAATCAGAGTGGGGCAGGGTGGGGGCGGAGAGACAGACTCATCCTCCAGCTGGGGACAATGGGGGTATGTCTAGACTACACAGTTTTTCCCGGTTACCAGAGGTATCCCAGAAAAACTGTTCGGAGTCCAGGGAACGCGTTTGTTCTTCCACTTTTTTTTGCGGAAGAGCAAACATGCTCTTTCGGAAGCCCCCGTAGTTCTCATTCCACGAGAAATAAGGGGGCTTCTGAAAGAGTTTTTTTTCCTAACATTTGGCCCAGTCCAGATGGGCCAAATGTCAGAAAAGCCTCTTCCGACAAAAGAATCGGAAAAAGCTACACAAAATTTTGCATAGTTTTTTCCAAAAAAAAAAAAAAAAAAAAAAAAAAATGTAGTCTAGCTGTACCCTGGGAGAGGGATCATTTCTTTAGGGGTCTTGTTGCCTGTTTTCTCTCAGTGTCACTTTTCTATTGAGTTCTGTTTCCCAGCTGGGTTTCCTTACCTGTGGTGTAGCAGCAGTTTGTAGAGCTGTTAAATTCCCTCCCTGGCCAGCCAGCTGATGCTCTTGGCTGAGTCACTGAGGCTACGGCTAAGCTATGAGTTTTTCCGGAAGAGACCATGCAAACGAAGCACGGATTAGCATTTTCTCACGCTTCATTTGCATACTCTCTTTCGTTCCATTTTTGCACTAGGGGTTTTTGCGCAAAAACAGGCAGTGTGGCTGTGGCTGTTTTGCGCAAAACCCCCTTTTTCCACAAGATCCTTTAAAAAACAGGCAGTGCAGCCATAGCCGTTTTGCGCAAAAATCCCTTTTCCACAAGATTCTTATGCCTAAGCATCTTGTGCAAAAAGTTTTTGTGCAAAATGGCCACGGTCACACTGCCTGTTTTTGTGCAAAAACCCATAGCACAAAAATGGAACAAAAGAGAGTATGCAAATGAAGCACAAGAAAATGCTAATCCGCACTTCATTTGCATTGCCTCTTGCGGAAAAAGTCATAGTGAAGACGTAGCCTGATAGACAGTTATAGCTAAACCACCAAGATCTCTAGTTTGGGGAACTGTGCTGAGTTCTAATGGAAGAGAAAGAAAGGGGGCTCCATCAGCATTCTCCTCTCAGCTCCCAGTCTTCCCTGATCCAGGTGTCTTTCTCCCCCAAGTCTCTCTGCAGGAGACACCAGGAGAGCTAGAGCTAGGACCCCAGCTCCTTCTGCCCCCAAGGGAGCCTGGAGCATAGGGGAGTGAACAGGGCTCTCCATGAGGATTTGCACCCCCAGCTGCTGCAGGACAACAAGAAGGGACCCAAGGCCAGGCATGAATCTGGCATTGGAACATGGTCTGCTTACAGTCCCAGAGTCTCCACTGAACCAAGAGAAGATGGACTTAACTCAAGTCTCTCTCATTCCCTGCTCTGACTCTGCCTTCCCTAGGAACACTGCTAACCCACAGCCCCTGCAGCTGCAGATCCTACAGCCTGTCGGAGCCAATTTGCCTAAGCCTGGAGTTACGGAGCCAGCCTCAGAGATCCCTTACGTCAAATTCAGAGAGGATGATGGTGAATCAGAACGGGGCTCTGCTGCTCCTTACGACCTTGGCTCTCTCCTGGGACATTCTGGACCTGATGCAGTTGACATACAATGGGGGAAGGAGGCCAGTCAGGATCAATAGACTGGTGTGCATGCTGTGCAAGCAAGCCCACCTCCATCTCTGGAGTGAGACATTGTGCTCGGGGTGGAATATCTGATTCAATATCAGATATCTGGTCATGGAGCTTGAGAAAGGGAATGTCACAATGTGTCTTTGTCTCTCTAGACTGGGACAATGCTCCATGTCTGGGCTGGTTCCATCCTTTCTGAACTCCTGATTCATGGACAGCTCATCAGGTGGCCTCTCTGGCACAAAAGTCTTTGGTCAATGAAAATTTCCTCCTGGCTCCCTCCTCCAAATCTCAGTGCTAGTAGGAGAGAAGAGCTGATTCCCTCTGGGCCCTCCTGAAGCTCTAGGAAGGAATCTGTGACTTTTCTGTGAGTGCTATCTCCTGGATCTCATGGTGGGTACAGAGGCAGCTTGGGCGGTGGTAGGGAGCATGAGGCTCTCACTCCCAAAGCCAGCCAGGGCCCTGACTTGAAGTTCCATCTCCTTCCTCTGTCCCTCAAGAAGGAATGATGATACCCAGCATGGCACTGCCCTGACTGCCCTGACCAAGGATGGCCCACTCGGGTGCAGGCTAGGAGGACAGACTAGAAAATGCATTTTCAGTCTCCCCTTTCCAGACCCTCCCACCCCTAAGGTAAAACTGCCCCCTGTCCCCTGTGCCCCCGACCATGCTCACCTCCAAGATGTATTGGAGTCTGCCTGTGTCTGGGGACTCTGTCAGCAGGTTCCCCAGCATGGCCTGCCTGAGGTCAGACAAGCCCTTGTGCAGAGCCTGCAAAGGAAGGGGCAGCCATGGGTCACAGCTGGGAAAATGGGAAAACTTCTTCCTGTCAATAGCCCCTGTTCAGCCAATCAGCATCGAGATTCTGAGAAGGGGGAGCCTGAGAGGTCTCACCAGATGTCCCAAAGGATGGCCCAGGTCACCACTGGAGGGGCTCAGTCTCAGAGCAATTCCAGCCCCACTTATTTAGGATGGCCTCCCACTAAGCCATAAGTGGGGGAGGGAGGGTCTCTGAGGTTGCCTCTGCCTTGCCCCGATGGCTGGTATCAAGGTCTCTCTGTGAGGTCACTGCAGCCTCACCACCTTTCCTCCACGAGATCCTGCAACAGACCTTTGTGAGGTCACTGCCACTCTCACCTCCCACCCCTGCAAGGCTGGTGTCCTGCCCCTAGCCAGCCCTTTGGGACTCATTGACTGATCAGAATAAAATGCTCTCAAATGAGCTACAGACCATCAATTGCTCATAGTCATCATTCAGAAACTATTTTAGAAAAGCTGGCACATCAGAGAGAATCAGGAACTGTGCAGAGACAATAATTGCAGAGAAGTAGCACCATCAATCACATACATGATGGTTTGTGACTTCTTAGTTTGTTCTTAAAAGAGAACAAAAGGACCTGAGTCTTTCCTGTGAATTAAACCCTGCTTGGCATGGAGACTCTGTGAGGTGTGAGGCAGAAAGGTCTCAACAGATGTCCTGAAGGATGGCCCGGGTCACCTCCAGAGGGGATCAGTCTCAAAGCAATTCCAGCCCCCCTCTTTGTGAGGGCCTCTCACAGTGACAGCAATCTCCCCTCCCCAACCTACCCTCCTTGGAGGGAGGGAAGAAAGGAAAAGGGGCAAAAGAAGCAAGAGAAGAGAAAGAGGGAGGGAAAGAAGAAAACTGAAACCTAAAAGGACAAACCCACAATATCCCCCGTGATTCTACAGGACAGAGTCCTTGGTAGGAAATCAAATCATCTTAACCAAGTGATTTCTATGCCTAGAATTTAGCTGGTCCCAGATGGATCAGACTGAACAGGTTCCAAACCTCTCTGGGGCTGTTACCTTCTAAACAGGGGCTACAAAGTCAATAGTAGGGAAGGAGAAAACTCCGATGAGGTCCCTCCCAATGCTCAAATACAATAATCCTAATTCTCTCTCAGTCCCCAAGGAGAGACCTTGAGAAGGAGCCTTGCTGCTGCAGAGACGCAGGAGTCTCTGAGGTTGCCCCTGCCTCGCGCCTCTGTCCTGCCTGGCTGATGTCAGGGCCTTTCTATGAGGTCACCATCTCCTCACTATTTTTCTCCAATAGGTTGAGGTCCTGCAACAGGCTTTTGTGATGTCACTGCCACGCCCACCCCGCCCGTGCAAGGCTGGTGTCCTGACGCTGGCCAGCCTCTTTGCATGTTTGAGTTCCTTCTCTTGGACCATGCCCTTTACTGATAGCTGAGTCTGGGGATCAAGCCAGATGCACAGCAAAGCTACAGAGGCTACTTTCTATGCCATATTCAATTTTTCATTAATTAGTAGACATTAAGGCCAGAAGGGATGCTCTCTTTCGAAAAAGCACAGTTTGCATCACATAGCGCCATTTTTCGAAAGAGCACTTTTGAAAAAAGATATTATTCCTCGTAAAACGAGGTTTTCTGCGGTTGAAAAAAATGCCGCATTCTTTCAATTTACTTTCAAAAGAATGTGGCAGCAGTCTAGACGCAGGGGAAGTTTTTTCGAAAAAAGGCCACTTTTAAAAAAAAAACTAGTCTAGACACACCCTCAATTAGCTAAGTTTTAATCACACGACAGAAAGGCATCTGGTTTTCATTAGAAGACTTCTAGAAATGGAGAATCCATCACTTGCTTTGGTAGTTTGTTCCAGTGCATCCTCACTGTGGAACATTTGTGCCCTATTTCAAATATGAATTTGTCTGGTTTCATCTTCCAGCCTCTGGTCTTGTTCAGTCTTTCTCTGCAACATTATCCAGCCCTTTAATGCCCGACATGTTCTCTCCAGAAAGGCACTTAGACCCTTCAAAGAAGTCACCTCTCAGCCTCTTTTGTAATCGTTCACAAGAAGGCATTTTCTCCAGCCCTCAAAACATCTGGCTCTTTGTTGCTTCCATCTCCAGTTTTTCAACATCTTTTTAAAATGTGGCCCTTGAAATAGGTGCAGTATCCAAACTCGGTCTCATTGATGCTGCGTCATCTCCCTGCCCTGCTCACTCCTTTGCTCATAACCTCAGAGTCACTGCTTGACTGGATACAACTCCCCATTCCCAGGGTGTGAGCTGCGTGCTGGGGCTAGGACTTCATATATGGCTCTAGGAAACTGTTTTGTTTGGGTTCAGTTTCCCAAGGGATCCAGAATGCTCTGTCACTGCCTTGGCCTCAGCCTTATTTACCTCTCTGCTAGTATTTTGTCACCCACACATGTTACCAGCAGGGTAACTTTTATATAGGCTTCTAGTCCATTGATAACAATTATTTAAATGATTAGTTCTTGAGAACCTTTTTCAGAGCCCTATACCTTTTCCTTACACCCTAGTGCGAAAAGGGCATCCAGCCCTGTTCTTACACAGGGGCTAAGCGGAGCTGTGTTATCCATATGCTCTGAACAACATGTGGGGGTCAGCAGCTTACAAATACACCACGGTCCTGTAGTGTAGGCAGGTCCCAACTTTATATAAGTTGCCTACCTCGTTACATGGGGACAATAAATGATATCTGAATTATCTCTGTTTTATAGGTAGGGAAACAGAGGCACACAGAAGTGAACGGACTTGCTCATGGCCAAGAAAATGGCAGGTCTTCTGATTGTCAGTCTTGGGCCCTAGGTCATCTTATCCTGGCCTCTCGCCTCTAACTTTGGTCTTTTCCCAACTAGACGATTTCTCCTTCTAGATTTTCTGTAGCCATCTGGCTCAAGTGCATGAGGATGGCTCCAAAAGCCGTGCCCTGGCTGAGTCACGTGTTAAAAGGTTGGTGGAGGAATCCCATAGCTGGGGTTGAAAAGGTATTTCCCCTGGCCGTGCATAAATGTGATGTCACCCAGGCTATGTCTACACTACAGAGTTTTTTCAGAAAATTTACGTCCACACTGCAATCGCGTTCTTTCGCAAAAAAAAAAAAAAAAAAAAAAAAAAAAAAGAAAAGAGGGGTTTTCAAGGAAGAAGCCTTTTTCTGAAAGAGCTCTTTTGGAAAAAGGCATGTGTGTGGATGGGGAAGAGGGAGTTCTTTCAAAAGAAGAGGAAAGAGGAAAAAGCACATGCCCTGGTGGCCTCTCCACCCATAGTAATCACAGTTTAAATGCAAGATAGTGTCCATGCAGTGTGGACGCTCTCTTTGGAAAAAGCAGATCGCTTTTTTGATGCACTTTTGCAGTGTGGACACTCTTTTTCTGAAGTTTTTTCAGAAGATTTCTTCCGGAAAAAGCTTCTCCCAAAAGAAGCCTGCAGTCTAGACATAGCCCTCCACACAGCACAGGGCCCTGAAGGCACCTTGCCCTACGGCTGGGCCTCTGCTGGGGTGAACCGGTTCCCAGCCCGATGCCTACCCACCTCTCCGGATCCTGTCTGAAGCCTGCCCTGCAGCTCTGGGGCCTGCACTCCTCTGACTCTGAGCCCCTTCCTCCATGCATGTGCTGCCGCCCAGGTGGGCCCTGTCCAGTGTTCTGCTGAGGCTGCCCCAGTCAGCCAGGAACCAAGCCACTCGCACGCCCCAGCTGAGCCCACTGCCAGAACCTGATTCTGCTTTAGCTCCCCGCCCTGATAGGGAGCAACCAAGCAGCCCAGCCAGGCAGCTGCCTCCCCACTCAGCAAGCCCACCTGGAAGCAGTGCAATGGTCCGAAACACGCCGCAAGCCAGCGCCACCACCTCCAGCCCAGGACAATAGCCCCAGGCTCAGGAGTGGGGGAGAAGACACTGTGCAGAGAACTGCCTGGTCACAGAATTTGTGGGGCCCAGCTGCGCATAAATGTGATGTCATGGTGATGTCATCTATACACAGCATGAGGTCCTGGAGGCTCAGGGCTAACAACCACCTTACTTGTCTTGCCCTAAGGCCTGGCTTGGCTCCTATTGGCCAGAAATTGGCCAATGGGAGATGAGAGATTTTGCTGGGCGCGGGAGCAATGCAGCACAATTTCTCAGCTCCCATTGCCTAGTTTGTGCCCAATAGGAGCTAGGAGATTTTGCTGGGAATGGAGACAGTATGCAAAGACTCCTCACCCCACCCCTACAGTGTAGAGAGACACACCGATCAGTTAACTGCAGGCAGGGAAGGTGCTAGATAAGCACCTCCCAACCAGAGGCTGCCTCTGGCACCCAGCCCTCTACCACACCCCAATTCCCTCGACCAGAATCCTCTCCTATACCCATACTCCCTCCCAGACTCTGCATCCCAGTCCCCTGCCCCAGCTCACCACCATATTTGCAACAAGCAGCCCTTGTATATCTGGGACCATCCCCGGGAAACTCCAGTGACTTGAGCCTGATATACTATTTCTGAGAGAGGGGCAAAAAGACCAGCAGAGCCATGAGCCACATAGACAGACTTTGTGCTTTGCGCCAAACAGCCTTGAAAGAATTCAGAGCTGATTAGTGTAAGTTACACAGGAAAGATTAGCCCTTAAGGGCTTTGAATTAAAGATGCTCAACTTTCTGTGCATTTGACTGGTTTGTTTCTAGAGACTTTCTCCTTACGTAGCTGAACACATTCATTATTAAACACTGACATGTACTAAAAAAGCCAGAAGCCTATGGAATTCATGAACAATAATACAGTCTCTGGATGTTCCGTTTCTAAGAAACAAGGGAAAACGCTCTAGCTCAACTGCAAGTGATTGGCCTGGAGAACTTATTTTAAAATTCTAATGATGAAAATACTGTTAAGAGCCTGTTCCGCAGTTTGCTGTCTGGGGCAAACTACAGCCTCATTGGCTTAGGGCTAGTGTACACTGCTGGCTTTAGTTTGTGGGGACCTGGTGGTGGCGGGGACCTTTTCTATGCAGGAGGTCTGATTAGATGAGTTGGTGGTCCCTTCTGGCTTGAAACTCTCTGACTGTGGCTTGGCTGCCATTCTGCACTGGCTTGGGATCTACCTGGGCAGAGCAGTTTGTAGGATCAGTGCCTATAGCGTTTCATTACCTGGATATCAGTTACATTTGCTGTGACGTGCTGCCTGCATCCATCGAGTAGTGCACTGTTGTGATATTTCACAAGACAAGTGGCATCAGGGTTGGTTGGTGCTTGGCTAAGTGACCTCTAAAGAAAACCACGTGCTGCTGTGAGTACGGTGGATGGATTAGTAGGAAGAGCTTTTGTTTGAGTCAGTTTGGAGTCAGTGGCTGCAGGAGACACAGCCTTTTGGAACGGAGAGAAACCAATGTTGCTGACCACCCTGGTGCTCAAAAATCCAATCCCAGTTCCTGGCCAGATGCCACTATATGGAGCTACAACCTGCTCACCGGAGTGCCCTCTAATTTTCTGTGTTAGTGTGTGGAATGACTTGCATTATATGCACCAATATGGAGAGAGTGCATCACAGAACAAAAGTCATTCCACGCACGGACAGTGTATGGTGGGGGTGGTGCCAAAGGGATGGGATGCAAGAGGGGCTGAGGGCTGGGGCAGAGATTTGGGGTACAGGGTGAGGGCTCTG